TTTTTTCTCTGAAAAAAATGTCGAGTTATTTTTGGCGTTTTCGATTTTTTCAGTTAAATCAAGACGTAATGCAGATGAAAATTCTACCTCTTCTTTCAACCGCTCGATGATAGCCGGATTCGTTGCAGGGTTTATTGTCCTAGTGCTGATTCTCATTGTTGTGATTACTTCATATAAACGGTAAATACGTATACGCAATCCAATAACGATTTTAAACATAAATGTTCGATAAAATCTAAAGTACTTTTTGTCCCATATATACAGTCGAAATCGCAATCGTAAAAACAAACACGAAGTTATAGTTATGGACTCAGTACCTGTACCATTGGCTGTCATTGACGATACACCAGTCCCAGAGAATAATGATTATATTGATTTCCTGGAGGTGTCTACAAAACGTTCTTTCGACACAGGTAAATGAATCTAGTTATAAATAATATGAAGCTAAGTTCAGCAGATTCATTCGCTTTATTGCGCCGCACCGCAGCCAACAGCTACACTAGTTTTTTCACATATTTTTGACATCCTTTTGATAAACTCTCATGTCTTCCTTTCTCAACTGAGTAATAGTCGGCACTGCGATGAAGCTCTGGAGATTGAGATTGCGATTTAGTCGTCATGGCAAGATCGATATCAGATAGACAATTAAACAATATTAAACAATTATTTTAGTAACTAATTGATTACATTTACCAAAAGAAAACAACGTAGAAGATCATACATATGAAGAAACTGAAAGCTCCATTCCTGATTTGATCATGATACCTGCCCAGAGTCCAATAGAATTTCTTCCGCCAGACAAAAGTAAGCTCACGGAAGAATTTAAGGTATGTCTTTGCCAACTTTAGTAAAAGTAAATCCTTCATATCTCCACTAATTTATYTATATATTATATATTTCAAACGTTTGAATGTAATAGAAACCATGTTTTTTTCACGAAAATCGTTACCGCCGTACGTCCGATTTTTTAGGAATACTTTGCAAACTTAGTTTGATTTTTTTTTTGTTTTGGCTGAATAATAACTACAGGGCATACCCGTGGAGCCGATGCATGAATGCAAAATGGCAAAGAGACCTACCAACAAGATAAAGAATCGTTACAAAAATATTGTTGCGTGTAAGTCATAAATGCCTATATCACTTCCCTTATAGCAGGTATCTCTCTGCTGATAAATTAGGTACATTCATGGTTAAGCAAATTCTGATTACCAATTACCGAGATCTTTTGCAGCTGCTTTTTCCTTCAACATATGAATGAATTTTTGCTAAGATGCCACAACGAGATTCACATTACGTCAGAATGGAGGTTCTATAATATTAGGGATAATGACAGGTGTCAATACTTTTTTGAGTAGGTGATTTGCGATAAGGAAATTGTTTTCATGAAATATATGTTCTAACTTCAGATGACCATTCGCTTGTTACTTTGGAATCAGTAAATGATGATCAAGACTCGTGTTATATCAATGCATCCTTTATTCGCGTAAGTTTCCCACCGTATCATAATATAGCTATGGTATGAATACGTAGTGATTATTAGAATGATAATTAGCTAGGTTTTCTATCCTTTTTCCATTTTATGAAGTTTTGCCATTGACAACGCTTGCTTATGCTTCTTTGACTCTATATGTACAGGGATATGACGGAGCTCCTGCAGCGTATATTGCAACACAAGGTAAGGAAAATTTAACGTGCAGAGTGATGCAAGATACAAACTAGAGTTGAATATTGCACTTGAAAGGCTATCTTCAGATTCCATATTATACCAAATAGCAATTTCTACGCTCGAAAGTGTCAGAAGCATTCCAAAACTTAAACGCTGCCTGTCAAAGACCTCTCCTTTCTCATTCGTAAATTCAAAATTTTCGAGGAACTCTATATGGTTTCATGCAGGAATAACAGAAAAACYTTTTCTTTTCCCAGTGCGCTCTCCCGGCCCTTACTCTGGCAGTTGGCGCCGTTCTGCCCATTAAGTATTCACTTTAGAGGTCTAGAACTGTAATTTACCAAAATCTTACTTATATAACTTTAGGTCCATTGAACAACACATTGGATGACTTTTGGCGTATGATCTGGGATCACGAAATATCTTCAATTATCATGCTTACCAATCTGCTTGAACTTGCAAAGGTATGTGGCATCTACACAATTTCCATTTTTAGGGCACATGACAATAAAAAGCATGTGAATTTTTGAAATGCATCGTTTTTGCTTTGTTTTGTTTTTGTTTTTGTTTCAGAGAAAGTGTCATCAATACTGGCCTGATAAAAACTCTGCTCGTTATTCAGACATCATTGTCACCAATCACAAGACAGAGGTTTTTGCAGACTTCACCATCCGTACTTTCTTTGTGTCGAAGGTAACCAAAATGAAGTTATGTTATAGTTTCAATTTAAAAAAAGGGATTTTTTATTAGAATGACCTCATTTCTACCTTTTTTCAAGGACGGCATGCCAAACCGAAAAGTTCTTCATTTCCATTTCACCGCTTGGCCTGATAAAGGGGTT